ATTACAATATTTGCTTAACCATGTATTTATATAGCATGTTTTTAAATATATTTGTTGAAGGAGAACAAAATTTTATTTAATGATCCAAAACACATGTATAAAATATTAGGTTGGGGAAAAATAAATCCATTTTAAAGGTAATGCCTCTCTCATAGAAGTCCTGCTCTCTATTTGCAAAGAACTCTAGTAGCCGGTTTTCACAATCCGCCCTAGATACCAAATTTTTTTATCATTAAAGAAACTTTGCAATGCAAGAAAATTACAACTTCCCAAGCAGCTCCCGAAGTTTTTGGTGAGATGTGTGTGGCCTAGCGTTGTTCTGGTGGTACACGATACCTCTGCTGTTGGCCAATTCTGACCGTTTCTGGTCATTGCTATCTTCAAACGATCCAGTTGTTGACGGTAGAGATCAGAATTGAGCGTTTGGCCATATAGAAGCAACTGATAGTAAATTGTAAATAAATAAATTTTAAATAGTATCCTTCCAGTCCCACTAAATGCATTACAGTTTGGCCACCATTTGAGGTGCTTCACCGCTCTTTTACCACGATTGTTTTCGCACAGGGTTATCGTATGTGATCTATTTCTCATCTCCAGTCACCATCCGTTTAAGAAATAGGTCTATCTCATTCCGTTTGGCCAAGGCTTCGCAAATGGAAATTCATACCATCATATTTACCATTCTTTTTCTGTTTATTTCATCGCCTAAATAATAATCGATCTTTATTTAGGGGTCTTCATTGGACAGAACCCATCCTACATGCAAAATTTCGTGATGATTGGTCCATAACTGTGCCCTGTATTATAATGGACAGACGGACGGACCCACATGTCTAGATCGACTCAGCTAGTCGAGATATGACGATCGGTATACTTAATGGTGGGTGTAGGATAAATATTTCGCGACGTTACAAACTCTTAGAGCTACACGAAGCTATAATACCTTGACAACATAGTTGTGTAGGGTATAAATATTCGGGTTTGTGCTCAACTCGTGGTTTAACCCTCGCTTTTATAGGACCCCAAAAATATTTTGTAAAAAATTCTCACATCCCTATAATGGCCAAAATGTTAAAAAAATCGGCACTTCAATTGGAGTCTAAAAAAATATTTAAAATAATCCACGCATTTATAGGTACCGAAAATATTCTTTTAAAAACCCAGAACCCATCAGGGAAAATCCACTATTTCTGGTCTTCTAGATGTTGAAAACATTATTTAGAAAATCTTTTAGTCAACTCAGGGATTGCAAATCGTTAAAAAAAATTATGCCAGCTTTCCACTGGTTGTTGACTACAAGCGGTGGAAAAAATCCACGACATTTTTTATCTCACGCTTATTGAACAATTGTTCGACACTTTTAGTCCAAAAATTAGTCATTTGTTATGTACTGTTTACTTATTTATATTTTTGAACAATGACAACACCCATTCCTTATGCTAAGTAGACCTAGTTTTTTGAAGATAAACTTCCGTGACAGCTCATTACAACCTCACCTTAAAAAAATTAAACTAATTTTCAATACGAACATTCCGCATTGGTCATCAACAACAAATATTAAACAAATTAAAAAAATATATATTTATTTAAACAAATAAATTAGTCCATATATGTTATAGTTATATTTTAACAACTCCCACACCTGCAAAAAATGCTCACTATTTACATAAAGATAGCTAAAGAAAATATGGCCCTCACAAGCGGGCCACGAGCTATTTAAGACAATAATAGTATAGTCATAATATTATAAACTAAGTAACCAAAACATTGTATATGAGTGTAATAATATATTTGATAAATATGCGACTAAGGTAAAGCAAATGATGAGTCGCAGTCGAAATGGCAAAAAATGAAAACAACAACAAATAAGAATAATAACAACAAAAAATGTAAATAATTATTATCACAAAAATATATATATATATTTTTTTTTGGATACAAAAATTGCCTGAGAGTAATGATTGCCTTTAGGGGGATGTGTGATTGTGTTTGTGAGTTAGGAAACTTAAGAAGAAAAAAATAAACAGTATTTGAAATCGACTACAAGTACATAGCTCCAAACGAATCTAACCAATATGTGCTAATGATTTCAATAAATATTTGAAACAAATGTCTATAACAACAAATGTAGCGGGAAGTTTCTACGAAAAATAATATTTGCCTAAAAGTTTATTTATAAAAAAACTAAACAAAAAACAGTGAGAGGAGCAGTATAGTCGGACGGGGCCGACCATATGATACCCTACACAACTAAAACGAAAATCCAACTTACTGCGGTTCCATATTCTAAGCCTGATAAATATTTCAAGATAGTTGCACCCTCTTGACTGACCAGAGGTCAACAAATATTACTAATATTCAGTACGGTACTTCTAATTACTTGTCCAGATTACCTTCACCGTGGGTTGTGTTTTGATGTTCGGCTTTCAACTGTGGCCTACAGATCGACTCAAAAAAACACAACAAAATAAGTTTTCGGTCCACTTCATCCAAATATTATTATCTGATCATCATATGGTTGTCCTTGACCATACCTGGATTTTCATGGAAATTTTCAAAACGATCAGGGCTATATTTCCGCCCTCTAGTGTTGTAATGGGTTGCTAAATAATATCGAAACACTTAAATACCTATAAATATTTACGTGTAACTCCCACAATATAATTGGTATCAATTTAAAGGTCAACCACTCCTCATGGGTATACTATCAACTTCTCAGGTCTATGTCCTTCAGGGGTAACTCTATACGCTATAGAATACAAATTTTGTAATTGTTCACACAAAACTCAGGGTCCATTTGAACCACTAAATATTGACCGATCGTTATCAAAACATGCATGCTTATACTTTGGCCCTTATCCATGTAAAATTTCACGATTTTTGGGGCATAATTTCGGCCTCTGGAGCGCCAAGAAAAAAAATACCGATCTTTACCAAAACAATAGGGGTCTTCATTGAGCAGAACCCATCATACATGCAAAATTTCGTGAAAATTGGTCCATAACTGTGGCCTGTATCGCGTGGTAATGAAAAGACGGACGGACACACATGTCTAAATCGACTCAGCTAGTCGAGATATGACGATCAGTATACTTGAAGGGTGATCTAGGACAAATATTTCGCGGCGTTACAAACTCTTGGGGCTGCACAAAGCTATAATACCCAGACAACATAGTTAAGGGTATAAAAAGAAAGTAAGGAAAGTAGTAAAGGCGGACAGGGTCGACTATATGATACCCTTGACCACTTTGGGTATATTCTACATATGTATCCTAACAGACGTCGCATTTTCGAAGGCATACTAATTTCAGTACGTTGTGTCAATCGGCCTAGCTATGGGTCTTTAGTGCACAATTTACATTTATCGGACGAAAATATATATGGGGGCTATATCTCAATCAGAACCGATTTTCGGGAAACTTAACACACATGATTCTAGACCTAATGCAGTACACTGTGCCAAATTTCGGGCAAATGGAAAGATATACAGGGACTTTGGTACGCCATTTACATAAAATTGGACGAAAATATATATGGGAGCTATATCTAAATCTGGACCGATTTTCAGGAAACTTAACACACATCATTCTACACCTAATTCATTACGCTATGCCAAATTTCGTGCAAATCGAAAGACATATAGGGACTTTGGTGCACCATTTACATAAAATCGGACGAAAATATATATAGGAGCTATATCTAAATCTGAACCGATTTTCAGGAAGCTTAACACACATTGTGCTACATCTATTTAATTACGCTATGCCAAATTTCGTGCAAATCGAAAGATATATAGGGACTTTGGTACACCATTTACATAAAATCGAACGAAAATATATATGAGAGCTATATCCAAATCTGGACCGATTTTCAGGAAACTTAACACACATCTTTCAAGAATTAATTCAGTACGCTGTGCCAAATTTGGTCCAAATCGAAAGACATATACGGACATTGATGCAACATTTACATTAAATCGGGCGAAAATATATATGGGAGCTATATCTAAATCTGGACCGATTTTCAGGAATTTTAACACACATCATTTTTTACCTAATTCAGTACGCTGTGCCAAATTTCGTGCAAATCCAAAGATATATAGAGACTTTGGTGCACCATTTACCTTATATCGGACGAATATATATATGGGAGCTATATCTAAATCTGGACCAATTTAAACTTAACACACATCATTTTATGCTTAATTCAGTGCGCTGTGCCAAATTTCGTGCAAATCGAAAGATATATAGGGACTTTGGTAGACCATTTACATTAAATCGGACGAAATTTAACACCAACAGACGGACATGCATAAATCGACTTAAAAAGTGATTCTATGCATATTCTCAAAAGGAACCATTTGTCTATCTCCTTTTCTTTTGCCTGTTACACACACATATGCACAAAGACATAATACCTTGAACCACAGTGTGGTGAAGGGTATAAAAATCCACGCCTTGGTTAAAGCCTTGAAAAATTAATTTAAAAAAATCCACGCCTTCTACCCTTTAGCAGGATAGAATTATTGTTTGACCCTGATTTTTTTTTAAATAAATTTATTGTTGTTATTATATCTTCCATTGAAGGTCATTACAAATTAATGCAAATAAGTAGCACTTCACGTGCTTCTGTATTGACATGCTCAATTAAATATTAATTATTTGCGAATTAAAAAAAAATCGAGTCGCAAAAAATGGCAATGAGCGGCAACAAAAAATATTGAGAAGCTTTAAATAAACAATTAATTAATCAATAAAAATATTTAAACTATAAATTATGACTTTTTTCATTTTTAAGAGATCCTGAAAAATCCAGTTGTGTAATTTTTCCCTCTCTCCTATAAAAAAAAACTCTCCGGCAGAATATCCTTTCAATCTCATTGATGAAATGGAATAACAATTATCGGCAATCGATTTTCATCGTAAAACATTATCACCATTTACCCCCTCTTCCCCCATCTTGTTTTTATTTTTTTATTTGTTTCCCCTATCCCCACTTACCTTCAGCTTGTGTATTTCCCGACGCAGTTTAACAATCTCGGCATCTCGAGATTTTATCACATCCTTGAGCGAGACAATTTCGCCTTGTAAGCTTTTAATTTGTGCATCCTTGTCATCGATGACACTGCAACTTTGTGTCGTGACATTCGGACTGAAGCCACATTTTGTGGCCATTGTGTGCGGTGATTGGGGTGAGGGAGGTGAATAGATAAGGCCAGGCTGGTATTGTGCTGCTGTCGATGATGATGCAGTGCCACTTATCACACCACTACCACCACAAGTGACATTGCTTTGTAATTTTAGTGTAAGGTTTGTTGAGGATACAGTGTTGTTGTAGTTTGTGGCCCCGTTATTGGTATTCTGGCTGCTGTTGTTGTTATTTGTCTTTGGCATTACACTTGCATTTATGGCTGTTGGTTGATTAGTTGTTCCAGTATTGCCACTGGTATTCGAACGTAAAATCATTGAGGTTTTACGGATCTGGAAAACATAAAAGGAATAATAAAAAAAATTATTTAAAAAATCCACGCCTTGTAGAGACCCTTAAAAAATTATTTAAAAAATCCACGCCTTGTAGAGACCCTTAAAAAATTATTTAAAAAATCCACGCCTTGTATAGAGCCTTGAAAAAATTATTTAAAAAATCCACGCCTTGTAGAGACCCTTAAAAAATTATTTAAAAATCCACGCCTTGTAGAGACCCTTAAAAAATTATTTAAACAATCCACGCCTTGTAGAGACCCTTAAAAAAATTATTTAAAAAATTCACGCCTTGTAGAGACCCTTAAAAAAATTATTTAAAAAATTCACGCCTTGTAGAGACCCTTAAAAAGATTATTTAAAAAATCCACGCCTTGTAGAGACCCTTAAAAAATTATTTAAAAAATCCACGCCTTGAAGGAAACCCTTGACAAAATATTTTTAAAAATTCTGGAGCCCTATGGACCCTTAATAAAATATTTTTAAAACCTAGTGTACCCCTGAAAAAGTATTCTCTTGAAAACTTTGGGAACTCACCTGTTCAATAACATTCGAGTCCTGTAATATTTTCGATGTCTTCCTTATTAGATTCGTAGCTGAACTGGGTACCGGTCCTAGTATACCACTTTCAGCAAAATATTTTTGTGCAGCATTAAAATTCGAATCATCTGATGCGGAAGAAGATACCGAAGCCTGTAGAGGTAATCTTTTCGTAGTGAGTAAGGGACTTGCCACCTGAGTCCTAGTACTTAAAGGTGACTTTAAATCTGTTGGCGATTTGACTTCTACGGATTTTTCTGATTCTGATGTTGAACCACCCGAATCAATTTCATGCGATCGCTGTAAGAGTCTCCTTCTCTGTTGTGTTGACCTGGCAGCTAGTGGAGATTCATGAGGACGTCTCGGTTCACAGAGGGGAGAATGTTTCGGCGATATTTTCACTAGAATATCGGGATGCACCGCAACATCCAGAACTTGAAAGTGACCAATGTTGGGCGAGGACGACCTTTTTGGTTGTTTGATCTCCACACGACCACCCCGAGATGTTATGACAGTTTCTTGACTTTGTTGTTGAGGACTTAGTAGATGTTGCAGTGACTCCCGGGAGGGGTGTTTATTTTCATCGGTAAATATAAAATCGGTGTCGGGATGAGAATACGATTGAAATAGTTTTTTGGATTTCTGAACAGCATCCGATTTACGCGACACAACCGTTAGTGGGGATGATCTCGAAGAGGAGGATGCCGAATATTCTATACCCACAGCTGGCGGTGAAGAGATTCGCGGTATTGCTTGGCCTTTGGAACGTGCTAACGACGCGAGCTCTGTATCTGGACTAATAGCTTGTTTGGCAAGCGTTGTCGAATTATTTGTTAGTGTCGTTGCGTTGGCAGAGCTTTTGCTTGGATCTGCCATCTCACCCGCTGCTGCCGATGTTGTACCAGACGGTGAGAGTAAATGAGTATCAAAGCTTGCAGTAAGACTCTCTTCGCGTGATAGATAAGCTGAGGTGGCGGATGATGTTTGCGTTGACAGCGAATAGATACCCGAACTGGTTAATTTGCCACTGGTGCCTGCGGTATCGGAGAGGGAAGAGGCCAGCGATGATTCCGCATTGCAAGAGGAGGGTGAAATGGACAAATGCATACATTGCTGTTGTTGGTAATTATGTATGGTAGCCGTCGTGGTCGTAGCTGTTGCTGTTGCGGAGGCATTTAAATTCTTATCAATTGATATGGCACGTGAGTTTGTGATTTGGCCCGTTATAATGGGATTGGGGCCGGGCCTAACCACAGTGGGTGTGGGTGTTGCTGTTACCTCGGCACAGTTACATTTTGCAAAGAGGCTACCACAGGTATGGGATTTGCGGAATTTCATGCGAAAGTTGGTGGCCCGTGAGGCACCCACCGAACTCAAGCCACTACTACGTCCCGAGGATGATGATGAAGGTTGTGGTGGTGCCATTCCCGCAATGGCCGAGGCATATGATATGGGTGTAACTCGGCCATAGGACTGTTCCTCCATTTCCACCTCTTTATTATCATCCTGGGAACGTGATACCCCCAATTTGGGATTTCGTTGCATTGTACCCTCCAGTAATTGGACATCTTGGTCTGTGGGCATTTTTTGCAGCTGAGGAACTTGTAGGGTAGTTTGAGTAGCCGGCTGAGAATGTGGTGGTGTCCTGGACGCAGTTTCGGAATATATACTAATGATAGGGTCTTTGTTGTGTTGGTGTTTTTGTATTTCTAGATTTTCTTTAAATTTACGAGATTCTTCCATTAAATCGGTCAGGGTGGCAACAATGTGTTTTGTGGGACTTACAGATTTGGTAGCCATTTGAAATGAATCAATTGTGGACGGAGAGATTTTATTTGGGAATTTTTTGTTTCAATTTAAATTAAAAGGAAAGCAGCATCTGAAAAGAGAAGAAAAATAAATCATCAATAAAAATTAAAAAATGTTCTCAGGGTTCCAAAAAATATTCTTTAAAAAATCCACGCCTTATATAGACCCTGAAAAAATATTCTTTAAAAAATCCACGCCTTATATAGACCCTGAAAAAATATTCTTTAAAAAATCCACGCCTTATATAGACCCTGAGAAAATATTCTTTAAAGAATCCACGCCTTATATAGACCCTGAGAAAATATTCTTTAAAAAATCCACGCCTTATATAGACCCTGAAAAAATATTCTTTAAAAAATCCACGCCTTATATAGACCCTGAAAAAATATTCTTTAAAAAATCCACGCCTTATATAGACCCTGAAAAAATATTCTTTAAAAAATCCACGCCTTATATAGACCCTGAAAAAATATTCTTTAAAAAATCCACGCCTTATATAGACCCTGAAAAAATATTCTTTAAAAAATCCACGCCTTATATAGACCCTGAAAAAATATTCTTTAAAAAATCCACGCCTTATATAGACCCTGAAAAAATATTCTTTAAAAAATCCACGCCTTATATAGACCCTGAAAAAATATTCTTTAAAAAATCCACGCCTTATATAGACCCTGAAAAAATATTCTTTAAAAAATCCACGCCTTATATAGACCCTGAAAAATATTCTTTAAAAATCCACGCCTTATATAGACCCTGAAAAAATATATAGACCCTGAAAAAATATTATGTAAAAATTCCACGCCTAATATAGACCCTGAAAAAATCCACGCCTTATATAGAAAAAAATATTCTTTAAAAAATCCACGTCTTTTATAGACCCTGAAAAAATATTCTTATATAGACCCTGAAAAAATCCACGCCTTATATAGACCCTGAAAAAATATTCTTATATAGACCCTGAAAAAATCCACGCCTTATATAGAAAAAAATATTCTTATATAGACCCTGAAAAAATCCACGCCTTATATAGAAAAAAATATTCTTATATAGACCCTGAAAAAATCCACGCCTTATATAGAAAAAAATATTCTTATATAGACCCTGAAAAAATCCACGCCTTATATAGAAAAAAATATTCTTTAAAAAATCCACGCCTTTTATAGACCCTGAAAAAATATTCTTTAAAAAATCTACGCCTTTTATAGACCCTGAAAAAATATTCTTTAAAAAATCTACGCCTTATATAGACCCTGAAAAAATATTCTTTAAAAAATCCACGCCTTATATAGACCCTGAAATAAATATTCTTTAAAAAATCCACGCCTCTTATAGACCCTGAAATAAATATTCTTTAAAAAATCCACGCCTTATATAGACCCTGAAAAAATATTCTTTAAAAAATCCACGCCTTATATAGACCCTGAAAAAATATTCTTTAAAAAATCCACGCCTTATATAGACCCTGAAAAAATATTCTTTAAAAAATCCACGCCTTATGGTAGCCCCTGAAAAAAATTCTGTAAAAAATCCACGCCTTATGGAAAAAAATGAAAAAAATTCTGTAAAAAATCCACGCCTTATGGTAGCCCGTAAAAAATTATTTTAAAAATCCACGCCTTATGGTAGCCCCTGAAAAAATTCTTAAAAAAATCCACACCTTATGGTAGCCCCTGAAAAAAAAAACTTTTAAAAAATTCACGCCTTATATAGACCTTGACAAAATATTTTTTAAAAAAAACACGCCTTATGGTAGTCCCAGCAAAATATTCTTTAAAAAATCCACGCCTTGTATAGACTCTTGAAAAATTAGTTTAAAAAAAATTCTCGCCTCCAATAGACCCTTGAAGAAATAATTTTTAAAAAAAAATCTACACTTCTAGTAGTCAAATCGATTTCAATTGATGTTTTATCGCAAACAATTTGAAAATGTCGTCATTTTGTCTCTGAATTCTAAAAATACATTTTTCTAATTTGCACTATTCTCTCTCTACTCAATTTCAAGAAGCCATTAGGGGAGGGCAGTTTGATGCTTGATATTGAGCTACCGCTGCCACTACACAACGGACCAACTGTAGCATCTCTCGCAGCCACCAAATTATCAAATCAAAACAGAAACCAAAAAAAAAAAAAAAAAACTCTAAATAAACAAAAAACAAAAAAATGAATTCTGCTCTCGATACATTCAAATTTGCAACCCTAATAAATAACAATGAAAAATTTGAATAGCTAATTTTAGCATAGGGTCTCCAAAAAACACCAAGCTCCAAGACAGTAAATAATGAAAATTGAAATTTGATTCATATCAGAGCAGAGACAAACTTTAAATTGAAATTCGCATTTGAGATGAAATGTGTTAAGACACACACTTGGGTCCCCTATGTTCCCTTTGCCTAACAGAGATCTTAGTATCGCGTTTCATTCGATTTGTCTGTTGGGTGTTTACTTTCATTGCTTCGTATCGTTGTTGTCCGAAGAATCTTTGATTTAATTAGCATATCTATGTTATTTATGCCATTTTTAAATAGATTTTGGGTACTGATGGTAATGGATACTGTATTTGGAGCAAAATTTGTTGTGAGTGTGGCGTTTAACAACAACCAGATGACAAATGAGTTTTGAAAACAAATTTATTCTTGGGAGAGTATTTTTTATATATTTTGTATATCAGTATAAATCCCCGCCTTGGTTAAAATTGTTGGTCCGCTTTTGGTGGACCATTGAGCCTTTTGTAGCCTTAAAAACCTATATTTAAAAAAAAATTTATAAAAATATTTTTTTCAAAAATCCACGCCTTGTTTTGGAGCCTTAAAAACCTATTTTTAAAATAAAATTATAAAAATATTTTTTTCAAAAAACCACGCCTTGGTTTGGAGCCTTAAAAACCTATCTTTAAAAAAATTTATAAAAAATATTTTTTTTTTCAAAAATCCACGCCTTGTTTTGGAGCCTTAAAACCTATCTTTAAAAAATCCACGCCTTGATTGGAGCCTTAAAAACCTATCTTTAAAAAATCCACGCCATGATTGGAGCCTTAAAAACCCATCTTTAAAAAATCCACGCCCTGATTGGAGCCTTAAAAACCTATCTTTAAAAAATCCACGCCTTGATTGGAGCCTTAAAAACCGATCTTTAAAGCAGTGAGCGGAGCAGAATAGTTGGACGGGGCCGACCATATGATACCTTACACAACTTGCACGGAAATCTTACTTTCTGTGGTTCTATATTCAGAGCATGGGCAATATTTCGAGATATGTGCACCCTCTTGACCGACTATAGGTCAACAAATATTACTAATATTCACTACAGCCCTTCTAATACTTGTCCAGATTCCCTTCACCGTGGGTTGTGCTGTGATGATCGGCTTTCAATTGCGGCCTGTAGCTCGATTCGAAAAAAAAAAACACGAAAAATTAAGTTTTCGGTCCACTTCATCCCAATATTCTAATCTGATCATCGCCGAAAATTTAGGCGTTGTTCTTGACCATAACTGGAACCTCATGGAACGTTTCAAAGCGATCAGCGCTATATTTCCACCCTCCAGTGTAGTAATAGGTTACTAAATAATATATAAATACGTAAGCACCTGTAAATATTTACGTGTTACTCCCACATCTGAGTACATAAGACCATATAATTGGTATCAATTTAAAGGTCAACCACTCCTCTTGAACATACTATCAACTTTTTGGGTCTAGGTCCTTCAGGGGCAAATATATACGCCAGTGAATACAAAGTTTTTATTTTTCACACAAAAGTCAGGGTCCATTTGACCCGCTAAATATTGAGCGATCTTTATCGAAACATGCATGCTTATTCTCTGGCCCGATCCCCTTCTCGATGCAAAAAGGAGTTTGGGCCATAATTGCGGCCTCTGGACTGTGGGCGAAATTGACGATCTAGCGTCGTTTAATTCAATTTTCAAAGTTTTTATTTGGGCCAAAATTGTGTCTCTATCGATTACTACTATCCCACTGATCTGATATATCGATTCTATTCTGATTGATATGATCTAGTTGAATAGCTGTGAGCTGTCAAACACAACATATGTTTCAGCCTATGTATAACTAAGCTTCAACACGTGTTTTCTTTGCATTGCCAAATTTTCTCTAAAGTAGCATTTGTCTCAATTAAGTGAATGAAAAGTTGATTTATTTATTATTAGAGGTATGTATTAACTAAAAAAAAAATTGTTTGTGACCTGTGCTTAAGTGTTGTAGAAAAAATATAATTCAAGTGTACTATACGACTCATCTGCTTGAAAAAAATCCAAAGTAAGACTTCCATAGACCGGAACTTCAGATATTCGTGTGTATTCGCGCTAGAATGTGTTTTTTTAAATTACTACGTCATCTTGTGATTATAAAATGCCCAAATGATCTGCAGCCACCTGCAACTTTACAAGATATTGCATTTTTTTAGGAAAAATGTCGATGCTCAGA